AAGTGTATTTTCAAATTTTAGTTAATTTTATAAATTAAAATAATAGCATAAACAATACTTAAAATTGTGCATTTATAATAAGAAAAATAAAATGGGCCTTAACCCAATCCTTTGCACTATTAATATATTGCACATAATTCAATCTTTTTAATATATAATCATATCATAAATATAAAAAATTGACATGTATTGAAACTTAACATAATGACATAATGGTTTTTGGAACAAACTGTGATGAAATTAAAGAGTCATCATTTTAGGAATATTTATTTTCACCTGGTAAAATTTGCAAAATAGAATAAGTTTATAAGTTTAATGATTTAAACATTTAAATATATGATAAATTTGGAGATTAAAATCATCAAATTAAGTTACCTTCCAAAAAAAAAATTGCTTATTAGGCTACTTCATGCAGTGTAGGCAACATTTTTATTTGAGTATCAAAATATGTCTCTAACAAGTAATTAAAGGCAATTAAGCATAGTCATCAATTTAATGTCTAATAAAGCAATAAAAATACAAATTTAATGCAAATTGGAGTTGAAATTTACATTCAATCAATTAATTAATTCCTTTGTATACATGTAAATGTAGTGCATATTTAAAAATAATGTTTTTTTTCTGCATATATACAAATTATAATTGATCATATTATCCATTTAAAGTTTTAGTATCAAAGGAAAAAATCTAAACTTATAACCAAGTAAAAATAACTTATAATAATAAAATTTGATGATGGGTGGTTAGGTACTTACAAACCTGCAATTTGCAAAGAAAATATAAAACAAGTATTAGTAAAATATATGAAACTTATTCAATAAAAAAAGTAGGTATTAAAAATTTGAAATGACTAACCACAAAAAGTTGTTTTAAGGCTATTAGTTCAATTGAGTAAATTGTGAGTGATTAAGTTGATGATAAATCACTTCCAAAAAGCAAAAAATATTAATATTGTAACAAAGTTGAAAAATAAATTAGTAATTTAGTAAGATATAGTGAAAAATCAGTAAGCATAAATCTAAATTCAAACCAACTGTAAATGTTGTGATTGGGATGATAAATCAGCTACAATTAAAGGTCCACTTCTAAATCCTGTTGTTCCCACTATAAAATGTGTTGCTGACTCACCTCCAAATTCTAAAAAATAGAAAAATAAAATCAAAAGTTAAATTTTTATTTGAAAAAATTTAAAAATAATTTTAGAAACATAACATATACCTGTTATAATTTTTTCAAAAACTTCAAAATCTTCACTAAAGTTAACTTCATTTAGTTGAGAGAGAGGGTCTCAATCAATTTTGGGCACATATCAATGCATTTGTCATTTGTGGGCTTAGGAAGCTTTGAAATGTATCTAAAAATTCTACTCCCAGTTGAAAATGCACTTTCTGAAGCCACAGTTGAAACAAGAGTGGTTAAAATATCCTTTACCATAGATAAAAGTATAGGAAATAGTGAAAAATTTTGTTTTCACCACAAGCAAGTATTTGAAATTTATCATCTCCATCTGCACACTCTTTAGTTAAGTACTTGTGCAACTCATTTTTGTTATCAATGAAAATCTTTTCCCTTAAATGTTGTTTAAAGGCATTTCTCCTTATTAAATATGGTAAAAGTTCGGTAGGACTAGATTTTTGCACACATAGAATCTCTTCCATTGGAGTGGGACCAAATTGCTTTGCATGGGCAAAAGAATACTAATTATACAATTTATACAAATTATTCTTTAAACTTGTGGATAATTTAGTACAAAACATTGGATCATCTCTATACATATCTTCAAATGACCACTCAACATATCTTAATTTATGCCAAAATACACAAGTTCATTTACATTTAAAATGTTTCTCCAATATTTGTCATATTTCTTCTTCATTTCCCATCCCATAGAGCTCAAAACAGAATTTGGGTTCATAGCATATTGCATAAGTTCACAATGGATAAAGGTAAGTTGGTGAAATGCAGAATGTAATGATACATGTAAAGATGATGAAAAGACTTGAGTAGCTTCATAAAATTTTTTCAAAAATTTAACAAAAACTTCAGTATTCTCCCAATCAACACTTGTAGGTGCAATAACAGCTCCAAAATAATTTAAATAGTTTGAATCCTCAAACTCGAGCTTCTCAAAAGCAGCTTGAAATTTTTCAGCAATATCCAACATCATATAGGTTGAGTTCAATCTTGTTGGAACATCAAGAAAAATTGATTTTTTGCACAAAATCCTAGTAACCTCTATGCATTCTTTAAACTTAGATAGTTTTTGAGGTGAAGACCTCATAAATCTAACAGCATTGCGTAGTTTTTGAGGTGAAGAACTCATAAATCTAATAGCATTGCGAATTTTTGAAATAGAAGAATGCATATCTTTTAACACATCATTCACTATTAAATTTAAAATGTGTGCACAACATCTCATGTGAAAAAATTCTCCTTCTAGCACCAAACCATTCGTGTTCTTTATTCTCCTTTTTAGGTAAATAATAGCCATATCATTACTACTTGCATTATCAACATTAATAGTTGACACATTCCTATATCCTCATTCTCTTAAAATCTTCTCCACATGTTTTTCTATGATTTCTCCTTTATGATTAGGAATTGTTGAGAAGTTAATGATTTTTTTTTTATGGTAATTCCATTCTTTGTCTATAAAGTGTGCAGTTAGGGTCAAATAATTTAGATTTTGAATTGATGTCCAACAATCAATGGTTAATGCAACCCTAGAACAATCTAATTTAAAAAAACTCATCAACCTCATTTTTTCTTTTGCATATAATTGAAAGTAGTCTTTAACCACAATATGCCTTGAAGGCATTGTAAATTGTGGTTGTAGCTATCTACATAAAAACTTGAATCCCTCACCCTCAACTATCCTAAAATGTTGTTCATCTATGGTTACAAATATTTCTACCGCCTTTTTACAAGCTTCAACATCAAATCTTTGACTAATAACAACTACATTGATCTCTCCACTTCTAGAAGTAAGGATTGTTCGAGTAGGGTCACTGGTTACAACATATGTATATTTGGAGCAAATTTTAAGGTGAGCAAGTAAATTAGATGTGCACGTACCTTAGTATCATAGTGATGCACTTTTTTGTAATATTTACAAGCAGTCATAGGTTCTTTTGATTCATTTTTGGATAATTTAGTAAAATGATTCCATGCCATTGATGTTTTCCAACAACTACTAGCATTGGATTTTCTCTTCTTCAAATTCTATGAAGGGTTACCCTCTCCAACTTTAGTTATAACTGCAGGCATCACACAAGTATTTGTTTCCCTACAACTTGCTTTTACTAGAGTAGAATTTGTAGGATTGAGAACCCCTTTCATTTTTATTTAAGGTTGTCTCTCGTTTATCTAAAGTAGGAGACAAACTACCTACCATATTAGTTATTTAAATATTTTTAAAAAATTATTCCTAACATTTTACAACTTCTAAGTCTTACAGGATTTTTTAAATTATTCAAATTAATTTACAACTTATCTTCAATTCATAATCCTAACATGAAAAGCTAAATGTATCAACAACAAGAAAGGAGTACTAAGAAAGAGACATAAAAAATATTTCTTAGTTTCTCAGTCAGCCATCATTGAATAAAGAAAGAAAAAAAAATAGAAAAAAATTTCTCTTCCAACTTAAGAAATAAAAACAATATCTTAGTTTGTCCAACATCATCAAGTAAACAAATTAAAACAACATCTCAATCTATCATTATTTAATAACAAAAATATGTCAATTATATTTCAATTCAACATTATTAAATAAAAAAATAAAAAAGAAAGCAAATATCTCAGTTCAACGTCATTGCATTTTAAAAAATAGAAAAAGATATTAAAAAAGGAGTATTTGAAATACGATATTCAAATATGTCTCAGTGAATCATATTAATAAAACATAAAAAAAATCTAGAACAACATCATTGAATTTAAAAATAAAGAATAGTAGAAGAGTGACATTTGAAATAGAAATTAAAACACTTCTCGGCTATAAGCATTATTAAACCACATTAATAAAACATAAAAAGTTTCAGACCAACATCATTGAGTTTTAAAAAATAAAGAATATTATAAGAATAATATCTAAAATAAAAATGAAAATATTTTTTAGTTATCAAACATCATTCAATCACATTAATAAAACATAAAAAGTTTCAAATAAGCATAATTGAGTTTTTAAAACAGAGAACATTATAAAAATAGCACCTGAAATAAGAATTAAAGCTTTTCTCATTTATCAAATATCATTAAACTAAATTAATATAACACAAAATTTCAAACCAGCATCATTGAGTTTTCAAAAACAGAAAACATTATAAGAATAACATCTAAAATAGGAATTAAAATGTTTCTCAGTCATCAAACATCATTGAACCACGTTAATAGAACATAAAAAATCTTAGACCAACATCATTGAATTTAATAAAGTAGAGCACATTATAAGATTAGTATCTGAAATAAAAAAAAATAATCATAAACACATTTGGATTTAATTAGACATCATTGAATTAAAAAAATTAAGCATAACTTTGTCAAATTCTAAATTAAACATAAATATCAAATTTAAAAAAATATATAAAGATATAAAAAAATCACTTAACATGCAACTTTCAGAAAGCTTGATTTGCAAAAATATTAACTAAAATTTATAAAAGAGAATACAAAATAAAGTGAATCAAAATAAGTATTTTTTATATTAACTTTATAATTTTTAATATTATTAACTATTTTTATCATTTCATAATTTTTTAATATATTCTTTGATTAATTTTAAAAAAATTGAATTCATAAAAAATGTTTAGTTTAGAAATCAAACAAAAATTTCAAACAAACAAATACCAACTAATATTATATGGACAGATTAAAAAAAATGATTAAAAATTATATTTGACTAACATAAAATAAATAAATATTTAAAAACAATGTTTGTCACTTTTATCTTGGTATAGTCTATCATATGTGGACTTTAGCGGCTCTGTCTTGTGTTTCTTTCTCTGACGTTTGCGCTGAACCAATCACTAAGTCACAAACTTTAGTTCAGTCTACTTCAAATCTCTCCATATGACATAATCAGTGACCCAATCAATAACTGCGAAGCCCTATAAATATAGCGTGCCCGTCGCAAACCCCAATCTTCAATACCAGAGGATAGCAATGGCGAGTCTGCAGATTCCTCAAGTCAAAATTGGAACGCAGGGCCTGCAGGTATCTATTCCATTCCATTCCTATCATCACTTCATTTCATTTCTCCCTTTTTTTTTTTTAAATTTCAATTTCTCTTACTTTTTACAGGTTTCGAAGTTAGGGTTAGGGTGTATGAGCCTTAGCGGAGCCTATAACGATCCTCTTCCTGAAGACCAAGGCATATCTGTTATTAAGTATGCGTTCAGTCAAGGAATCACTTTTTTTGACACAGCTGATGTTTATGGCGCCAACAACGCTAACGAACTTTTGCTCGGAAAAGTAACCATTATTTTCTCCCTTCCCTTAATATTTACACTGCCTTTCAAAACTTTCTGTTATAAGGATCCTTCTTGTTTTTTCTTCTCATATTTACTCTGTTTTTATTTGTTGATTCTATTGACCAGGCTTTAAAGCACTTACCTAGAGACAAGGTGCAGGTAGCAACCAAATTTGGCATTGCAAAGTTGGATTTTCCTGTGGTACACGTCAAGGGCACACCAGAGTACGTGCGGTCGTGTTGTGAAGCCAGCTTGAAACGTCTTGATGTTGAATACATTGATCTCTATTATCAGCATAGGGTGGACCAAACCGTACCTATAGAGGAAACAGTTACGGATTATTTCTTCACTTCGAAATTATTATATACTTTTACATTTTAGCAGTAAATGTTCTATCATTCGCTCGACATGTTGTTAATAATTTAGTTCAATTATAGGTGGGTGAACTTAAAAAACTTGTGGAAGAGGGAAAAGTGAAGTATATAGGACTATCTGAAGCGAGTCCAGATACTATAAGGAGAGCACATGCGGTTCATCCCATCGCAGCTGTGCAAATAGAGTGGTCTCTATGGACTCGTGACGTTGAGGAGGAGATAGTTCCTCTGTGCAGGTTAGTTCAAGTTCTTAGGAATGTAAAGCTCTCATAACCGTTTCTTCACTAAAAGGAAAAAATAATTTAAACATCTCTTTAATTATGAACTACTTGGACCACAGATAATTTATTATAAGCTACTTGAAAAGAGGGTAATACGATAAGATAAAATTAAAAAAAAAAAAAAATTAGTCTGCTAGCTGCATGCTTACGTTATGATGGAGTCGCTACTTTGTTTGATACAGGGAGCTTGGCATTGGAATTGTACCATATAGCCCCCTTGGTCGAGGTTTCTTTGGTGGCAAAGGAGTTCTGGAAAGTATGCCTGCAAATAGTGCCCTGGTACAATATCTTACCATTTGTGTGTTTCTGCTGAATACCGTAAAATTTTTGGATGTGAAAAATTGGCCAGATAATTGCGTCAACCCTTCATGTTGAAACTGAATTTAATGTTGAGCAAATTTAATTCTTTATTCTATAAGTACAATATTTATGCATTCGTTAAATTGCAATTGCTTGTTTTTCGAACAAAAGTAGTGATGAATCATGAAAGGTTCCATTCATGTCATTTTTCCATACAAAAAGCTAGTCAAAATAGTACAAACTGAGACTTGATATTTTTTAAAAATTGCATAAGAAATTATTTGTTGTCTGATAGATGATTTTTTTCGCTTATCAGACTGCGCATCATCCCCGCTTCCAAGCAGAGAACTTAGACAAGAACAAGAAAATATTTGACCGTTTAGAAAGCCTTGCTAAGAAACACCAGTGCACTCCTCCCCAATTGGCATTAGCATGGGTACTCCAACAAGGCAACGATGTTGTGCCTATTCCTGGTGCGTGACAGAATAACTTTTCCTTTTTAAAATATAGAAAGTGATAAAATATAACCTATTGTCTATTCCAATAACTATCCTTAGTGTGTTTGGATTAAGATTCTCTTTATTTATTCAATCTGAACAACCTATGATGCATTCAATATTTCTGTAACTGCACTTATGCGTTAGTCAAACAAGAGAAGAAATATACACTTTTCTTCTTGTGTATGTGGGTAATATTATTGTGCATTTAGTAAGTTTTTCTTTGTGGTCTATTAATGTGTGTTTATAGACATTATAAATTTTGTTTAACATTGCTTTTCCTGGTTGAAAGGTGTTATATTGCATTGGTGCTAGGCAAAAGTTGACCTTTCACTAGAATTAGCTTGTATGCTAGCCAAATATGGTAATACAAGAATGATCTTTTGTACTGAGGTTACTGGCTGAAAGGTTTCTCAGTTAAGTTCTTTGAATGAAATCATTGTCAGTCCAGACACATCTCAGCTTTACTATTGCCTTCTCAAGTGTTCATAATATTCATAGATATCAATCAGAGGAAGTTTCGATGAAAAGAGTGGGAAAGAATTTTTTTTAATGTTTTATATGCAATTTTCAGCAAGGGTTTTTATCTTTTACCTTGTCAACTGTCGTTCGTGAGCATTAAGGAGTATAACATTGTCACTTAGAGGAATGGGAGCGACAAAATCAAATTTTAAACCACATGCTCGTAGAGACTCTAATTCAATGTCATAAACCAACTAGATTGTTATTCCTAAAGGCAATTAGCTGCGCATAAAAGGGTTATATTTTACAACTAAATCGTCACAATTCGTGAGTGTATGAAGTTCATTACTGACGCAATTTTGTCATTGCCTTTACAGGAACAACTAAGATTAAGAACCTGGATCAGAACATCGGTGCATTATCACTGAAACTAACAGAGAGCGACTTGAGAGAAATTTCTGAGGCAGTTCCCATTGATGATGTAGCAGGTACTCGACACTTCGGGGGAAATGATACACTTGCTTGGAAATTTGCCAACACACCTCCGAGGGTCTCAACTTGATGCCCTCGAAATCCAACTGTTGGATAATGCACAAATTTGTGAATTGTCATTTGTCAGATGCAAAACTAGTACGGTTTAAGCTACCAATGCATTATCTAGACGGAGGTGCGGTCGTACGGATATTTATGGACTGTCGATGGTTGGCTAATAGATATTTGGTTGGTTAAAGGTTTATAGTTTAGTGGACCCAAAAAAATGTTTGTAGTGTAAAATATTGTACTAGTTTATTATAAATGGTCAATATTAAAGAATAAAGTCATGTGAGCCTTTTAAGGTTACATGATTTCTTTAATTAATCATACCGTTTAAAAAAATTTAATCATGATTATGCATATGATTCAGATTTAGTTCTTTCATTCATGAAAATGTATTTCTCACTTTTACTATCACTCTCAACATTTTAAATAAAATATTTTTTTTTCTAAAATTTTGACTTGAGTGATCTTATAAATAGGCTTGATTTAAGTTGAGCCTAATGTAAATTAGGTTATAAACTTTTGAAAAAAAATACTCTTATTTCTACCTCTAGCATTGTTTTAAATATTTAAAAATGATTTCACTGAAAAAATATTCAGAATGATGGTTGAAAATCAATCCTATAATTTAACAATGACGATCATAGATTATTTGAATTTAAAAATTAACATCTTATCAGCATCGAATGCCTCATATAAACTACTATTTCAATCACCGCTCGTTGTAGAAAGGCAACCAAGCTACACAAAGTAAGCCAACCGAACGGTTGAAGCTTTCCAACGGAAATTCACAGTCGGTTTTGGGCCATCTTTCTTCGATCCAATTAAATTCAAACCTATTTTTATATCGTTCATTTTTATTTAATTAATGTTTCGAGTGAAAAAAATTTTAGTTGACGGTTTATAGATATATACGGTAATTGACTTTTTTTAGTTAACAATTTTTTAGACCTAACAAAAAAAATGTATTTTCAAATTTTATTTATATTTATAAAATTGAAATAATGAGCATAAATGACAATTAAAATTGTGCATTTATAATAAGAAAAATAAAATAGGCCTTAACTTAATCATTTTGAACTATTAATATATTACACATAATTCAATTTTGTTAATACATGATCATATCATAAATATACAAAAATTGACATGTAGTAAAACTTAACATAATGACATAATAGTCTTTTGAATGAATTGTGTTGGAACTAAAGAGTCATTATTTTAAGAACATTCATTCACCTGATAAAATTTAAAAACAAAATAAGATTATAAGTTTAATGATTTAAACATTTAAATTTATAATAAATTTGGAGATTAAAATAATCAAATTAAGTTACTTTTCAACCAAAATAATAGCTAATTAGGCTACTTCATGCAATGCGGCAACATTCCTACTTGAAAATTAAAATGTCTCTAATAAGTAATAAAAGGCAATTAACTATAGTCATGACTTTATTGTCTAATAAGGCAATAAAAATACAAATTCAATGCAAATTGGAGTTGAAATTTACCTTCAATCAATTAAGCAATTTTTCTGTATACATGCAAATGAAGTGCATATTTAAATATAACAAGCCTTTTCTCTACATATATACAAATTATAATTGATCATATTATCCATTTTAAGTTTTTGTATAAAAAAATAATCTAAACTTATAATCAAGTGAAAATAACTTATAATAATAAAATTCAATGATGGGTGGTTAGGTATTGATAAATCTGCAATTTGCAAAGAAAATATAAAATAAGTATTAGTAAATATATGAAAATTATTCAACAAAAAAAAAATAGGTATTAAAAATTTGAAATAACTAACAACAAAAAGTTGTTTTAAGACTATTAGTTCAATTGAGTAAATTGTGAGTGATTAAGTTGATGATAAATCACTTCCAAAAGCAAAAAGTAGTAATATTGTAACAAAGTTGAAAAGTAAATTAGTAATTTAGTAAGATATAATGAAACACTAATGAGCATTAATCTAAATTCAAACCAACTCTTAATATTGTGAATGAGATGAGGAACTAGCTGCAATTAAAAGTTCACCTCTAAGTCTTGTTGTTCTCACTGTAGAATGTGTTGCTGACCCACTTCAAATTCTAAATAAAAAAAATCAAAAGCTAAATTTTTATTTGAAATTTTTTTTTTAAAAAATATAAAAAATAACATATACTTGTTACAAATCTTTCAAAAATCTCAAAATCCTCACTGAAGTTAACTTCATTTAATTGAGAGAGAGAAGATCTCAACCAATTTTGGGCAAATATCAACGCCCTTGTCATTTGTGAGCTTAGGGAGCTTTGAAATGTATGTAAAACTCCACCCCTTATCAAAAATGTACTTTCTAAAGTCACAGTTGAAACATGAATGGCTAAAATATCCCTTACCATAGTTGAAAGTATAGGAAATCATGAGGAATTTTATTTTCACCACATAAAGATTTGAAATTATCATTTCCATCTACACACTCTTCAGCTGATTACTTGTCCAACTCATTTTTGTTATCAATGATTTTTTTTTCCTTAAATGTTGTTTAAAGGCATCTCTCCTTACTAAATATAGTGGAAGTTCACTAGGACCAGATTTTTGCACGCACAATATCTCTTCCATTGGAGTGGAACCAGATTGCTTTTCATGGGCAAAAAAATACTATTTATACATTCTAGACAAATTATTCTTTAAACTTGTGGATAATTCAGTATAAAACATTGGATCATCTTTTTATATATATCTTCAAATGACTACTCAACATATCTTAATTTATATTGAGAATAAAAAATTATGCCAAAATACACAAGTTCATTTATATTTAAAATATTTCTCCAATATTTGTCATATTTCTTCTTCATTTTCCATCCCATAAAACTCAAAACAAAATTTGGGTTCATAACAGACTGCATAAGTTCACAATGGACAAAGGCAAGTTGGTGAAATGCAGAATGTAATGTTACATGTGAAGATGATGAAGAAACTTGAGTAGCTTCATAAAAAATTTAACAAAAACTCTGGCATTCTTGAATCAACACTTATAGGTGCACCAACAACTCCAAAATAATCCAAATAGTTTGAATCCTCAAACTCAAACTTCTCAAAAGTAGCTTGAAATTTTTTAGCAACATCTAACATCATATAGGTTGAGTTCCATCTTGTTGGAACATCAAGAAAAATTAATTTTTTTGCAAGGAATCCTAGCAAACTCTATGCATTCTTTAAACATAGATAGTCTTTGAGGTGAAGACCTCACAAATCTAATAGCATTGCGAATTCTTGAAATAAAAGAATGCATATCCTTTAACCCGTCATTTACCATTAAATTTAAAATATGTGCACAACATTTCATGTGAAAAAAATTCCCCTTCTAGCACCAAACCATTCATGTTCTTTATTCTCTTTTTTAGGTAAGTAATAGTCACATCATTACTACTTGCATTATCAACAGTGATAGTTGACACATTTCTAAATCACCATTCTCTTAAAATCTCCTCCGTATGTCTTCCTATGATTTCTCCTTTATAATTAGGAATTGTTGAGAAAATAATGATTTTCTTATGATAATTCCATTCTTTGTCTATAAAGTATGCAGTTAGGGTTAAATAATTTAATTTTGAATTGATGTTCTCATTTTTTCTTCTGCATATAATCGAAAGTAGTCTTTAGCCACAATATGCCTTGAAGGCACTGTAAATTGTGGTTGTAGCTGTCTACATAAAAACTTGATTTTCTCACCCTCAATTACTCTAAAAGTTTGTTCATCTATGGTCACAAATATTGCTACTGCCTTCTTATAAATTTCATTATCAAACCTTTAAATAACAACAACTACATTGATCTCTCCACTTCTAGAAGCAAAGATTGTTTGAGTAGAGTCACTAGTTAAAGCATATATATATATATATATATATATATATATATATATATATATATATGTTTGAAGCAAGTTTTAAGGTGAGCAAGTAAATTGGATGTGTCATGTACCCACAATGAAACACTTTTTTGCAATATTTACAAGCAGTCATAGGTTCTTTTGATTAATTTTTAAATAATTTAGTAAAATGATTTCATGCCATTGATGTTTTCCAACAACTACTAGCATTGAGTTTTCTTTTCTTTGAATTATGTGAAGGGTTACTCTTTTTAACTTTAGTTATAACTGCAAGCACCACACAAGTATTTGTTTCCCTACCACTTGCTTCTATTGGAGTAGAATTTGTAGGATTGAGAACCCCTTCATTTTCATTTAAGGTTATCTCTTGTTCATCTAAAGTAGGAGGCAAATCGAGGTTAGATTGCTCCATTGTTGCTTCAATTCTACCTACCATTTTAAGTGTTTAAATATTTTTAAAAAATTATTCCTAACATTTTACAACTTCTAAGTCTTACAGAATTTTCTAACTTATTCAAAGTAATTTACAACTTGTCTTCAATTTATAATCCTAACATAAAAACCTAATGTGCCAACAACAAGAAAAGAATACTAAGGAAGAGACATAGAAAATATTTCTTAGATTCTCAATCAGCCATCATTGAATAAAAATAGAGAGAAAAAAAAAACAAAAAAATTTCTCTTCCAACTTAAGAAATAAAAACAATATCTTAGTCTATCCAACATCATCGAGTAAAAAAAAATAACATCTCAATCTATCATTATTCAATTACAATAACATATCAATTATATTTCAATTCAACATCATTGAATAAAAAAAAGAAAAAGAAAGCAAGTATCTCGGTTCATCATCATTGAGTTCTAAAAAATAGAGAAAGACATTAAAAAAGGAGTATTTGAAATATGATATTCAAATATGTCTCAGCCATCAAGCATCATTAAACCATATTAATAGAATATAAAAAATTTTAGAACAACATCACTGAGTTTAAAAATAGAAAACATTAGAAGAATAGCATTTGAAGTAGAAATTAAAACATTTCTCAACTATCAAGCATTATTTAACCATATTAATAAAACAAAAAAAAAGTTTCATACCAGCATCATTGTGTTTTAAAAAATAGAAAATATTATAAGAATAACATTTAAAATAAGAATTAAAATATTTCTTAGTCATCAAACATTATTCAATCACACTAATAAAATATAAAAAGTCTCAAATAAGTATAATTGAGTTTTTAAAGCAGAGAACATTATAAAAATAGCACCTGAAATAAAAATTAAAACATTTCTTAGTCATTAAACATCATTGAATTAAACTAATAAAATACAAAATTTCAAATAAGCATCATTGGGTTTTACAAAATAGAAAACATTATAAGAATAACATCTAAAATAGAAATTAAAACATTTCTCAACCATCAAGCATAATTGAACCACATTAATAGAACATAAAAAATATCAGAACAAAATCATTGAATTTAAAAAAGTAAAGCCCATTATAAGAGTACTATCTGAAATAGAAATTATAATCGTTAACACATTTAGCTTTAATTAGGTATCATTG